TAATGAGATGTTGGATTTGTTGAAGTGACATCAGATAAAGGAAAAAAGACAAGGGAAGTGAGTGGTATGCAGGTTCGTCTTCCTTTCCTGCATAACTGTTTAATAAGTTAATTTTAATTAACAGCCATGGAGCCAATGGCGTGCTCGTGATTATGAAACCTAATTAATAAGTAATTAGCCAGAAGATGAGGCAGAACCTGCCACTGCCACTACAGAAAGTAACATTGCATGTGAGAGAAAACCGAAAGTCGATGAGTCAAATTCCCGTCAACCCTGCAGCCCATGGTTTGTACTAATTAAGTAGGATTAACAACAACCTTTCTTTATGATACATTTCTGTTTGTTTCTGTTAGTAGAAAGATAGATCCCACTTTTCAAACCAACGACAAACACTTTCAAAATTTAAATCCAATTTAATTTTCCAAAAATAAGATGTGTATTTATTTCTATTACATCGATTTTTTATAAATCAAGATAAAGTACAGTTTTTTTTTTCACTTTTAATGTTTTTTAAAAATAAATTCGTGATGAACAAAATTCTATAATAAATGATAACAGAATCTAACAATATTACTCAACATATATTAAATCAAAACTTTATCTTTAATTAATGTAAAATTGGAGAAAACTTTCACTAAAGATTTGTTAGTGGGAGTGGTTTATTGAAATAATATAGATTTAGCTTCAAAAAGTTCTTAATTACTTAAATTACTTACATATAACATGTAATCCATACACAATGCTTCTTCTTTTTTAGGGTTTTGCAACTTTTAATTATGAAGTGTGATTTGATAAGGGAATCAATTAACGTGGCTTCGCAAAGTACTACAATAGAAGACCAGACATGCTCTGAGAGATTTCGGAAAATGTTTGCCGCATAATTCCATTTTTAACGAAAATTTCCTCGCCGGAAATTGCTAAATCATTCATTTCAATTTAATTTAATTTAATTTTTTATAATAACCTTTTTATGCGTATCTGTATGATTTTCAATTTAAAAAATCAGTACTACAATTATATCATTAAATGAATAATAGTATTTTCTGAATAATATCATTAAACAAAAAATCATATAAATTAGATATCTCAAACCCATATCCACCCGGTATTCGTATAGATGAACTATCCAATTCGGTGGAAGGTGTAATTTATCCTCTTTAATGATGTTGTGGGGGCCAATTTCAATAAAACTTAGTCAAACTTAGTTAGGAAAGAAATACCGATAAAGTTTGAAAACTAGGTAGACAAAAAGAAATCCATAAATTGGATCTAATCCTTAATCTAATCTATAATAAATCATAATGATTTTAATTAAAACTAAAGTTTAGTTCTAATTTTTTTATAAAAAAAATAGTTTAAACTTTTATAGTTTCAAATTCAAATAATTAGACTACAGTCTAAATCTATTATTTTTAGATATTCATGATGGATTTTGAGGTCGTTTTGAAAATCGTGTCATTTTTCAAAATTCATTGTGATTCTAAAATAATTTAAAATCAAGGATACAAAAAATGTTTGGTAGATATTAAATTTTATTCAACCTAATAACAACTTATTTATAAGATAATTTGTAATCTGTGAAAACTTTTTCATATACTTTTCTTTTTAGTTTTAGGTTTAACTCATACATAACTAATTTTAATTCATGGAGAAATCAAATTTTTTTCTCCTATAAAACCTCAATGAGAAATTGATCTAAGCAATCCTTAAGAATATTTATCAAGATCTACCTCTTATATTTCAACTTTGAGTTCATACACTAAATCTTAAGTAAATAAGCATGGTCAGAGAAATCTAATTATATTTGAGAGATAATGTTAATTTGAAAGCTATTCATTTTGCTGATTATATTAGTTGTGGATTGATATATTCTAATAACTTGATAAACATAAATTCTTGATAAAACATCTTATTGCTATTACTATGCAATATATTTTCAAAATAGATATCTAATCTAATGTTGACTTACATGATATATAACTTTTTAAATTCAAAAAATCTCTATTCGGATAAATTTTAAATAACTTTTAATATCAAACTTTCATACAATATTAAGAAAGTTTTAATTATAGTCAATTCTACCAAATTAACTTAATAAAATAAACTCAATAAAATTAAGTTTGTCCATACTATAATTTAGTCATATATAAAATCGATATAAAATCTTCATTATACTTCTTATTTCGAACATCAAATATAAAATAAAAAATTTTAAATATTGAGTGACACGTTATTAAAAAATTAATAAATATTTAAATCAAATTCAATCTTGTGGGATAATATGATATATATATATATATATATATATATATATATATATATATATATTAATTTTTTTTAATTTTATATATGCTATAATTTAACTGTTAATACAATATTTCATGTATATTAACTAATATATCTTTTGAAACTTTGACTTTTAACTTTCAAAAATAGTTGAGATAATAAGACTTTGATGTATCATATCTGGCATTGACCATGTACTAAAATTAAAATTTATTTATATACTATAAAGTAACAGTTACAAATTTAAAATTGTATAGTTAGTTTATCATAGTTTGATTAGAAAATGAAGTTTCAATTGTTTGGATAAAGTTATAAATGAAATAATGTTTTGCACTGAAGAAAGATAAGACATTATATTTCTCTAAATTGAATGATTATCTAGCCACTACTTCCGCATTCTTCGATTCAGATATTATGGGACGCTACAAAATCATATGATTTTGACTAAATTTTATGTCAGTTGCTTTTTTCTATTTAAATTAACAAATATAGTCATATATCATGCAGAATATATAGATTAAAATCATATAATTTTAATTTATGCATAAATTATTGTTGAATAGAAGTATAACTAAATTAAAATGTAAATATAATTTTAATTTTTGCACTAGTTGATTTTATAAAGTTGTTAAATTAAAAAAAATAAGAATTACATAATATCTATATTTATATAAAAATAAAATTTTCTTTTTTGGTATTTACATTTATTTTTTTAATTTTATTATTACAATAAAAAAAATTAAATTCAATTACTTTTTCTATTTGATCGTATTTTTAAATTCAATCGCTCTTTTACATACACATAATATTCTCTATATATAAAACTTTGAAATTGGAATAACTAAAAATCATTAAAATAGTTAAATCTAAGCATAATTTAATGCATGCGTTGCACTGTCTGAGTTTAACACTTAGGAAACTTTATTGAGAAATTATATTTTATGTTCTTCACTCAATTCATGATTTTGAGAACTAATCATCACAACTTTCTATCCTAACTTCAAATCATTAAAGAACCTTTCAATCCACTTTATACACCATTTGAATCTTGGTGTATAACACAAAAAGTACGTATAAAATTAAACATAAAAAAATATTCCTCAGTTATAGATTTTCAAATTTATGAATATAATTTATTTAAAAGACTGTATTTAAATTTAAGAGTATTTCAAATATTTATCTTGCTTTAAAAATAATCTAGGAATACTTTTTATTGGAAGAAGTTAATTTTATTCACAATATATGTTCTATCCACTTTATTCACAAGATATAACATACTCACCAACATACATAAAGTTTTAACTTGGAAAACAAAATAACAAAAAATCATCAAAACAATTAAGTCCAAATATCATTCAATAAATTCATTAGACAATTTTTCTAAACCTTTTAATATTAGACACTTTCTTAATACACAATCTTTGTGCTTTTCACTATACATATGATTTAAGAGACAACCACTTTTGTTTTGATAAAAAGTTTTTATATAAAATAAGTATGCATGAAATTAAAAAATAAAATCCCAAGTTACAAATTTTAAAATTTATTTTCAAAAAATATATTTAAATTTTAGGTTATATTTCCAATTATCTATTATATTTTAGACTCAACTAATTTTTCTCTCAACCAAATGAAACAGAGGGAAATTCTTTTCCAAAAAAATTTTAAAGTGAGAGAATGTTATCAATTTACATGTTTTTTTTATAGAGCTAAATTATATATATATATATATATATATATATATATATATATATATATATATATATTGAAATATTGGGTTTATGATTTTTTTTCTTTTATATGACATTTAATTTTTTTATTTTTATTTAATATAAGACTTTGATTCATTTCACTTTTTAACATTTTTTTAATGTAAGTTGTTGTTAATATATGAAGCTTAATTATAATATTATTTTATTTTCTAGAATGAAATAAAAAGAAAAGTTTCAGGAATAATGATTATTCGTAGAACTTAGTCATAAATTTGTTGATAAAGGGTAATTTATAGAATACATATCTGTTTTTGTATACTTTCTCTCTGGGAAATTAATTAATAAAAGAATTGTGTAAAAGTGTGGTTGCGAGGAAGCAGAAGTAGTGCTCCCCATCAACACATTATATTTTCTCTCATCCATTCAAAATATTTAAATATTAAATTTGAATTTTAACTTTAATTTAATATAATAAACTAATTTAAAAATAATATCTACATTTTTCTTCTTTTATATTATAAAAGATTAATGGCAGCTCTCTCCGAAGGACGTCTTGGGAATAACCGATTTTCAACTTAAATATTATTATAAACATTCATTCCTTGCACACTTGGTTAAAGAAAGAAAAATGTTACTGTTCAATCGTACGTACATTACATTATTATCACGCAATTGAAAATATTTCATTCTCACAATAATTATTTCGAGAATAAAAAACACGTAACAGTGCATAATTAAAAACTGTCTGCGGGAGTACATCTAATGTCTTAACTTTATCTTTAATAATTCAAGAAATAAAATCAATATTTCATTAAAGTATGAACATAAAAAAAAATTGTACTTGTTTAATATATTAAATATTTGATACGAATTTATAAATTTTAATGGGAAGGTAGCCATGAAGAGCACTAGACAAAGCATAACTTTATCTGTTTTATATATTTAAATTAAATAATCTGTTGATGAGGCACTGTGATTTCTATAAATTGCAGGCTGGACAAAGGCTCTTCTCACAGCATACAGTTGCAGAGGGTGGTAAAGTGAGATAGAAAAGAAAAGAAAAAAAATAGAGAAATGGAGAATTTTCCCGTTGTTGACATGAAGAACCTTAACAATGAAGAGAGAGGAACAACCATGGAGAAGATAAAAGATGCGTGCGAGAACTGGGGTTTCTTTGAGGTACGTAATTTCAAACTCTATATTTTTGTTTAAAGAAGGAAACTTTTAGAAGGGTTTTTTGTGTGATTTTGTTTTGTTGTGTGAAGGTGGTGAATCATGGAATATCGATAGAGTTGATGGACAGAGTGGAGAGGCTGACGAAAGAGCACTACAAAAGGTGTATGGAGGAAAGGTTCAAGGAAACGGTGGCAAGCAAAGGATTTGAATGTGCTGAGTCTGAAATCAATGACTTGGACTGGGAAAGCACCTTCTTTTTGCGCCATCTTCCTGTCTCTGACATTTCAGACATTCCTGATCTCGCCCAAGATCACAGGAAGGTGATGAAGGATTTTGCTGTGGAACTGGAGAAACTGGCCGAGCTAATTCTGGAGTTGGTGTGTGAGAATCTTGGGCTGGAGAAAGGGTATCTGAAGAAGGTGTTTTATGGGTCAAAGGGTCCTAATTTTGGGACCAAAGTCAGCAACTACCCTCCTTGTCCGAAGCCAGAGCTGATAAAGGGTCTGAGAGCTCACACAGATGCTGGTGGCATCATTCTACTATTCCAAGATCACAAGGTCAGTGGATTGCAGCTCTTGAAAGACGGCCACTGGATTGATGTTCCCCCAATGCGCCACTCCATTGTCATCAACCTTGGCGACCAACTTGAGGTATGTATGTTTTTCTTAAATCACATGCACCGACAACATTTTTTGTAAAAACCTAGGTTGCTTGTTTTTTTGTGGTAAAAACAGGTTATTACGAATGGAAAATACAAGAGTGTGATGCATCGTGTGATTACACAAACCGATGGGAACAGAATGTCCATAGCGTCGTTTTACAATCCAGGGAATGATGCAGTGATAGCTCCGGCGGAAGCGTTGGTGAAGGAAGACGAGAGTAGCAAAGTTTATCCCAAGTTTGTTTTTGATGATTACATGAAGCTCTACGCTGGCCTTAAATTCCAGGCCAAAGAGCCCAGATTTGAAGCTATGAAGGGAGTGTTTCATCCTACACCTCCAACATCTCATCCTGCACCTCCAAAAATTCCATTTTTAACCTTCTGACATCCTTCATCTCCAACCTTTTTAAAAATTTCATTTTTAACTTTCTTTTCTTTCTAATTAAATACATTTTATTTTCTTCTCTTTTTCTATTAAATACACTCTACACCACCTTAATAATAATTCTAATTTAATTTAAAATTTAAATATTATTTAATATAATTTTATATTTTAATAATTATTAAAATATGATTTATATTATAATAATAACTATAATAAAAAAATAAAAATAAAAATAAAATAATAATAATAATATAAAATTTGACTTAATATATTCAAATATATTAAATTATATTAAAATATTAAAATAAATTAAACAATTATTAAATTGTAAATAGAAACAAAAATTTTTAAAAACTTGTTATCGAAAAACAGTTTTGCTTTTTATTTAAAATTTAATCAATATTTATTTTAACTAAATATTATAGCATTATTTATTATATTTTTATATTTTAATAATTATTAAAATATAATTTATATTTTTATAATAGTTTTATTAAAAATTAAAAATAATAATAACTAAAATAAGAATAAAAATAATATTAAAAATCACATTTAATATATTTAAATACATTATATTAAAATATTAAACTAAATTAAATAATTATTAAAATTGAAATAAACATCAAAATTTTAGAAAAATTTATTTATCGGATATCCATATCCGATTATAAATTTATCGGACGTCAATATCCGATAACGTTTTTAAAATTTTGCTTTTTATTTAAATTTTAATAATTATTTAATTTAATTTAATATTTTGATATAATTTAATATATTTAAATATATTAAATGTGATTTTTAATATAATTTTTACTTTTATTACTTTTACTCTTATTTTAGTTATTATTATTTTTATTTTTTAATAAAACTATTATAAAAATATAAATCATATTTTAATAATTATTAAAATATAAAAATATAATAAATAATGCTATAAATTTAATTAAATTAAATATTGATTAAATTTTAAATAAAAAACAAAACTGATTTTTAATTTTTTAATATAGCTATTATTATAATATAAATCATATTTTAATAATTATTAAAATATAAAATTATATTAAATAATATTTAAATTTTAAATTAAATTAGAATTAATTTTAAGGTGGTGTAGAGTGTCTTTAATAAAAAAGAGAAGAAAATAAAAAGATAGTTATTAAAATATCTTTAATAAGAAAGAGAAAAAAGTTAAAAATTAGAGGTGCAGGATGTCAGAAGGTTAAAAATGGAATTTTTGGAGGTGCAGGATGAGATGTTGGAGGTGTAGGATGAAGCACTCCTATGAAGGCCATCGACTCATCCAACGTTAATTTTGGCCCAATAGCAACTGTCTAAGCCCAAATTCTTCTTCAGCCATTATATTATATTATATTAGAAAATAACAATAATAATTATAATAATAATATATGACTACTGCTATGTTTCTTTGCTATAGGTGCCTCGTTATGCATGTGTAGCATAAACCAAATTTATGGTTTAAAAATAAAATATTTATTTATGTAATGTGAGTGATGGTTAAGTTGGTTTCGTGTATTGATTCACTTATTTTATTAGAAAGTAAACCCTTCTTTCTTTGTCTTGTTATTATGCTTTCTAATAATGTTGTCATGCAACAGAAAAAGGAATAAAAAGTTAAATTACCTACCTTAATCTTATCGAGTGCCTATAACTGCCACCTTTGATAATAACTGGTGGAGGAATTTTTTTGCACTGTATTGTTTTTTGGTTTGTTAAATTAAATTAATAGTAGAATCTTGTATTTTGCCCTTTCTTCAATAACTTAGTTTGATAATTTCTAAATTGGATTTATTTTAAACTTCAGTATCCATTAATTAGAAATTTTCAAAAAGTAAAAATTAGACAAACACGTAAATTAGAAATAGGTGTTCGTATTGTCATACGATCAAAATATAAGAAAGAGTTTTATTTACAAAAATAATTAAAAAAAAAACAATACATAAAGAAAATATTTCAACTCGGATAATTGAACATTAAGTCAGAATGTTATTAGTCTTTCTATATATAGTCACTCACTTTTCCAATCTTAAGATATGTCCTAATTATTTATAAAAAAATAATAATCACAATAATTTAAGTAAAAACCGAGTTTAAAATTATCATGTATAGTAACATGGACTTTATCCTATATATATGAATTTAAACTAATTTAAATTAAATCACTAGATTCAAAATCAGTTTGATCTAACTAAATAGATTTAGATATCGTATCTAACATATTTTATGGATCAATTACCATATATTTAAGAAATGATCTGTTTTAGAGCTTATTTATCATAGGTCTCGACTTCTAAATATTATAAAACTATTAAATATTATGATAGGAACAATAAAATTTAAATTAAATTTAATTTATATCGCACTTAATTGTAAAGTTGTATTGCATAGGCAATTAGGTACATCAGTTATTCTACTAAAAAAAGGAAAATTGTGTGTTTGTGATTGTTTCTGGGATTCTAAGTTTCCTCCTGAGGAAGCAGATAAAATAATGCCATAAATAATGAGCATTCCCTCTAAATAGGAATGCAACCAAACCAGAAAATGTTGATAATATTAAGAATGAAAGGTAGGTAGAAAAGCATCATCTTTGAATTTGCAAACCGACCCTGAATCACTTCCAACAGTGTCGCGATAAGAGTTGTAAAAAATTAGGTAATTTTGGCTGATTGGAGAACTGACAATGGACCATGGTTTCAATCTTCACTCTCATTTTATAAATATTGCAGATGCAATTTCATGTAATCATAAAATCGTGAATTGGGAATACCAAGGATAAAGTTGAGTAATATATAATAAAAAAAGTTTACAAACTTATTATGTTAATATGAAATATGTAAAATTTTGGGAATGTGTGGTGAAAGTACGATGCTTTCTAAATTCTAAAAATCCAATAGTTTTATGAAAATCTTTTTTTTTGGAAGAAAATATGAATAAATAAAATATGTTTAAAAGTTTATATTAACTAGAGATTTATTATTTATTCAATATCTCATTTATGATTAGACTATATTAATGTCTAATTACGCGTTTGATATGTATATATTTATCCATAAAAAGATGTGTTACATATTAATTAAAAATAAAAAAAATTATAATATATAAATGAAGAACATCATTTTAATAAAAACTGTTAGATGATTTTTTTTGAAGATTCAATGGTACTATTAGAGACTAATAAATACACCTAAGTTAGAAATAAAACAAGAGAATTAATAGTTGGCAAAGTCTTTTTAGTGAAAGTGATTAAAGTAGTCAAAGCCTTAGACTTACTTTGAGTTGTAGTTATAATTTCTTGCAGACCTATTGGCATGCCCTGCAAACTTAATTTTCGCATTTGGGAAAGATTGATTTCTTGCAGACCTATCATTTATTAAATTCTCTAGAAAACGTGATTACTTCTGTGAAGCAATGAACTCAAAGCACAGGATGCAAAAATCTAACATATTAAACATTCAGAGTGAATTCAAAAGGAAATCTAAGACAAGCAACAACATAACAAAATAACAAAATCGTCCCGTCCCATCAAGGAAGTTGATTATACAATTTAATTTCCTATTTCAATATATTTGAAATGATTAAAATAAAATTGGGAAATACCAAGATGGGACGTAATGAAAGGGCTATAAGCTGAAACGTGGAAGATATTCTTGCTTGCCAATCACACTCATCAATTACACAACATAACCAAGAAATTTGACCAATGCATATTGTGACAACCAATGTTTGTCAATGAAACGATTCTTCACTCAAGCTCATGCTTGGATTTGCACACATGATAAGGGATCGAGTTTGAAATGCTTGTAAAACCTTTTTCAACATTATTCACCAAATTAGTATATAATGTTTGATATAATCTTACCACTTCCATATTTGAAGACATTTATCACAGTAGCCAATTTCAATGAAACAACTGAGTACAGACACTCAAACTCATGGTAATTCATCTCTTTTGTGTCCTTCGCTATATTTGCTTTTCACTTTTGTTGTTTTATTCATTCACTGTAGCTGAAAACTAAAGGTGTATTTTTAGCAAACTGGGAACAATGACTTAAGGACTTCCGATAAAGTTCACATTACCACTCCCAATTGCAAAATTTCCACTCACTCTCCAAAGCTTAGGACATAATGTTATAAACTCAGCAACACATTCAGCACATTGATAAGGGCAACCAATACAAATGTCAGAAACTTGAGTGAGTAAGCAATACTCAACTAAGTTGCATCCGCATAACTAACACAGCAGGGGACAAAAATGATTGGCCCTTCGCAAGTGAGATTGATTAATGATTGCGTAACTAATGTTAAAAAATAATCTCCCTTCATTAGATCGCTGAGAACTTCAGAGAAAGGAAAAAGAAAAAGGGCAGAACTAACTAGTTAAGGCAACCTAAATTTTGAATTTCTATTTAAAAAAAAATAAGATATCGCTTCTAAACTCCAAGCAACAAGGATATTCTTTGTCCAGGGTCTTCATTTAACGCTCAACTGAATAAAGCCGCAGAAGAGATTTCGAATCCAAACCATCTCATACTTGATTAGCTTTATTGATCTCTGGTTTAATGGTCTTGTTCTGCCGTGTGTTCTCAACCTTTTTATCATCTCCATCTTTAGCATCTCCATTTGAGGAATGATTCTTTAGAACCATTGAAATATCTGCCTCAGAAGCTCCTGCTAGCTTAAAGCATTCAGTTGCAACATCTAGGTTTCCTTCCAACCACTCATTCCTAATTTGCATTCAACTTGGGATCTTTCAAAAAGCATATTACCCCAGAAGAGGTGAATTTGAGATCTCATGACAGCTGCTTGCTCAGCAGCTTCTTCTGCAGATATATCACCCTGACCTCCAACAGTAGAGGACTCACCTTCAGTGGTACCTCCTTGTTTCTTTCTTCTTCTCAATAATTCATCTTTCTTGGTTGCATTTGGGTCCTTTAGCTCTTTTGCTCTTTGCTCCTCTAGTTTCTCCCACATATCTGTTGCAGCTTTCATCTTCTCCTCTGCGCTGTCAAAAAGTTGAAGTGTCTCTTTAGAATCCCAGCCAGATAGATCTATCTTCTTAGCAAGTGCAAAAGACCAATGAAGTTTAGCCATTTCAAATTGCTGCTGCCCCAGAGCCAACAGTCCCTCATAAAAGTCTGATTTGATCGAGAGTGCTTCCTCGTACTTCTCTCTTGCCAACGAATACTTTTCCTTGACCCATTCATAAGCCACTTGAAGCTGCTCAGCCACTACCTCTTTCCCTGCAGACTCATCCAGAGGGATCCGCTTCCTAGCTGCACACATGTGAACATTACCCCAGTTGAAGTAAGCTAAAGCAGCAACCTCCTGAAACTTTGAAGCAGCCTTGTCAAACAGATCCTGGGCCTCCTCACTAGTTACTGTTTCCTCGAGTGCCTCAGAACAAAGCTCCATGCCAAGCTCATGCAAGTCAATATGAGCGTCTGGATCAATACCAACATGTGAGCGGAAAAGCTGAGCAAACTCAAACAACCAATCATCCATCTCCACCTCTTTGCTTTCAGTATCTCCAGTGGCTCCTGGCTTTTCCTTTGGAGCCTCCTTCCCTATCTTATCAACCTCACTGTCAGGAACTTCAGAGGCAGATTCAGCAAGGGAAGAATGAGATCCGCTCTCATCTCCCTTGACCCCTTCATTCTCAACTGGTTTTTCTTCCTCTTCTTCCAATAAAGGTGGCTCCTGCTCTGGACTAACTTCAACAATATGCAGTCTCAGCATTGAAACAGAATCACTTTTAACTTCCCCAAGTTCTTTGAGGAGATGGTTATCAACACTAGACTCTGCCAGTCTGAGTTCATCAGTAGAGGTTATAGTAACCAGATCACCATCGCAATCCTTATATTTGATCAGAACAGAACTTGACGAAGGAAATCTTTTGCTCACTACATCCCTCAGCACTCTAAAGTTGCAATTGACTGGCATCTGTGCGAGCCTAATGTCATGATCATAAACAAGCTTCAACGGTCTCCACAGAATTGCAGCCTGAGAATGCTGCCCATGAATGCCCGATGACTGTTCCTTGTGGTCATCCTTTCCAGGGTAAGATGGCTTTGGAGAACCACTTGAAGGCTTCAACATCAGTTTTGGCAAGTGGGACTTGGTATCAGAACCATTTTCAGTCGGTAAAACCGGTTGTGCCTTGCCGTCTAGCTTGTTATTATTAGGCAAAACAACAGATCCAACTGCTGAATTGGATCCCTTCTTCGCCACGGGACGGGCTGGCAAACATGGCCCCAATCCAGCAATAGGGGCGCCACGAACGGCGGAAGCGCCAAGGGCAGCTGGAGAGGGTCGACTTTGGAGGTCCTGCTGGGCTTCCTGGCGCGGCCCCAACGCAGTTCTCAATCTCTGGGCGATCTCCAAAGCATCACGGTTACCAGGATCAGCACCCAACAAGAACTGCACATCCTGCACAGCCATTTCATACTTCCCAACAGCCTCGAAGGAACGGGCCCGACGAAGAAGGGCCCGGACAAAGCGGGGCTGGACCTGAAGCGCCATGGTGCACTCAGAAATCACAGCTTCATAATCTATGGGCTTCATCTGCATCAAACACGCCGCCCTGTTGCTGTGGAAAACGGCTCTGTCAGGGTGCGTTTTGGGGGTTAAACGAAGAGCACTCTCGTACTGTTCAAGAGCACCCGCATAGTCCTTATTCTGGAACCTCCTATTCCCTTCCTCTTTCATCTCATTCGCCTTCTTCAAAAATATCGACGAATCCAACAACTCCGACCCACCATTAGACGGTGGGACACCGACACCCGAACCCGAATTATCAACCACACCCTGGTTTGGGTTCGAACCACCCTTCTTTCTCCTACCCCCTGATTTCCCCATGTTATTGTCCTTCCTACGCGTCATTATTCACTCAAATTCAAATCAACACAGACTAGAATAATCGTTGCCATGAATCTAAAGGCTAAATTAACAGAGAGACAGGAGAGATTGAAAAAAAAAAAAAATAGTTCACACTTACCAGTGAGAAGCCGCACGAAACGAAAACTGGATAACCTGTGTCAGTAGAAGACTCTAGAAGAAGAAGAAAAAGAAGATAGCTTGTGGCATTGAATAAAAAAGGGAGGTCTGGAAGCTTAGTTTTGTTAGTTTAATGGTATTTGTTGGGTTTTGAGAACTCGGCGTGCGTCTGAAACCCTAGATAGTTTAGTTCCTTATCACAAGGAGATTCATTGTTTCTTCCTTATTCTCAACCCTATGATGTGATGAATCTGTTGTTGACTTCGTAGGGTTTAGAGGTATTTTCGTAAATAAAATAAGGAGGAGGGGTAATTTTGTCCAGTGGTTATGACAGGTTAGGGTTTGTACCGAATTGACCACTCTATAAATTGCGCCTAAGATCAACTCTTTGTTTCAATGTGCATGATACATTTTCGACGGCGGAGAAGGACAACCGGGTTAGATTAAGATTGCCATAGTTGTTTGTATCGTTATGATAAATGATAAGTGTTTCGATTTCAATGGTTTTTGTTTTTAATTTCCTGGAAAAGAAAGTCCTCAGTGAGTTTCTATGAGAATGAAGAGACTGTTGAAAGTGTCTCTGCCATTATTTGAACATTGAGGTATAAAAAATAGGCGAGTCATCGTTTCGGTCGCCCTTTTTATGGTTGGCGAATCGATTGTTCCTCGTCTACATTATTTTTCTCTTGTTTTTAGTTTTTCACTTCGTTTTTCTTTGCCCTATTTATTGTTTTTGCAATTTGGTGAATGCTATGATTCAGAAAGAAGCCCTTGTTCGATCAAATTAAGAAAAACAGAGGACGTGTGCGATTTGACTGTGATAACGCATTTGGCCAAAAATAATTTAATTGGTTAGTTATTTACATAAATCACTGTATTTCATTCACTTTTGCTCTGTTTCTCTGTATGTTCTTAAGAATTTATGGGTCTATCTTTTATTCTCTTAAGATTTTGTGTCTTGATGAATTTATACACGACCACTCTTCCTTTTTTGTCTGTCTTGATGGCAGACAAAGATTGATTATATTATATACAGAATTATAAATTATCTTTCTCACTGCTCCTTTATATTGGGGTCTTGAGATGCGAAACCAAATGAAAACAGTAGCTTTTGGATATTTCATCATAATTTGGTGGATTTGTATCCAACATCTAATAGGAAAGTAAACATCAGGAACTGATCCTGCTGTAACATACGGTGTGTAAAGAAACTAATGGTGATTGAACTTCACTTCATCATGGAAATATTCCATGGGAGGAAGCAGTAACTTTCTAGAGTAGACAATCCTTTGTTTCTATTTCCTTGAGCATGAAAATGGCAGTTGGTAGTGCTTCAAACAGGATATATCAAATAATTCGATGAACCTCTGGTCTGACACCCTTGCTTTGGCACCTGCAAACCTTTGGTACTCGTCAAAAACGGATGATAGACACCATCTCTGCAATCTTCTTATGCATCCCACAAGGCAACCAGTGCGGTGCTGATCATGGTAAATAACGGAGCAATTGAAGAATAATAATTCCAAATAGTAAAGAAAATAAACTCTTAAGAACAAATTCATACTGCATACCTTTCCTCGTTTACAGTGAATCAAAAGGGGATGGTTTTTAACATCTGGAGACAGAAAATCGAGCATCAATTAGGTCGGTATTTCAGTAAAAAAATGCCGAAGCTGTATTTAATAGAACAGTGAAGCTCGAGGTTTTTTAAATACCGAGGGCTACTTTCAAAGCTTCCCGAATTGTATTGTTTGGGATGTTGACGAAGGGTTCCTGCCCACATTAGTTTCAGGCATGAGAAGGCAGTTAAAGGGAAAGGGGGATTGCTATCATTCAATCTTGAGATAACCTAATTTTGAGATAAAGACCGATTCCAAAGGATAATAACAATAATAATCCCACAAGCATACGAGGCACCTTAAAACCCCAGCAAAAGTTTGATTTCAAAGGAAAGTAAGAGTCTGCACTAGACAGGTAAGCTACAATATTGGTGACTATTTCGAAATACTTAAAGGACGTCAGACTATTTACTCTTCTGGTATATGATAGCATGGGATATTGAAAATAGAATCACTATTGTGTAAGTCATTTCTTAATCCCCAAAACTTTTGTCACATTAATTAGACAAATTCACGAACACACAGAAGCATCTTAAAGTCATTGTTCCAGCAAGTCCTGGATTTAAAGCACCTATAACCGATCTTAGTATGAGGCGGACTATAATAACTAGTATACTTGTTGCTAATGGGAGGTGAAAAAGGTTAATTTGTGATAAACTTCTTAAATGAGGCAAGAGTATGCCGAGGGCAATAAATAATCCGAATCTTTGTCCAGAAATAGCTTCATGCAGAGAATGAAGGAAAGAATTGATTCCAGAACTGCTTCAGGACAAAAGGACTGGCTGTTGTCATGAATTAAATAGGGATATGAAATGTTAACTGGATAAAGAGAAAGAAGCCGCAATCTTTCTTTGATTTGCTCGAAGAAGAAAATAATGGGAATAGATAGAAAATATGTACAGACAACTCATTTAGTTATAGCAGTAATGTATGGTAGAAAAATAGTTTCTTTCCAGGAAAATGTGGTAACATTAGCCAATTGACAGTGCAGGAGCAAACAGAAAAAGTGAAATTTTGGTTTTAAAAAGAAAGACCTTGTAGGGAGGGGAACTAGTATGCATTCAAACAAGAAAGAAGAATTGAGCGGATGTTAGAAATGAAATTACTGGTATAGTAAGCTAAATTCTTAGACTAGAAGTAAAACCAGGTAAATTTTCCAAAGCATGTTTTAAAAGCTAAATAAGCTTTCCCTATGAATCGACAAACATACCAAAGCGTACTGACAGCCTTACAGTATCGTCTTTGGTTCAATTGAAATTTACTATCAATTGGTGTAGTATGAAAATGAAATTAAGCCTGAAACTGAAGAGAAACCATGCCTACAAACATGCAAGAGAAACCCAATACTTTCTGGTGTGAGCATTGAAATTCACAGCCATACCAAATAATTGTTAAGCTAAAAGAACAGAAAATTGAGATTTTCTCTGGCCCTCACAACCAACTGTTGCAGTTGAATAACCAATATGAGGCAAAAATAATAAAAATAAAAAACAAAGGACCACGTTAAGAGCTCCTAGTGAAGGTAAACAGCCTCTTAGTCGACATTAATAGCGTGACACTTAATTATAGTGAATACAAGCCCTTAAAACAACTGAAAACAAAAAGGTTAATATATGCGATGCATCACATCCCTAGTCCATGGTATATTGCAGTTGCATACACATACATGTTCATACTTAGGTTTGCAATCGGTGTTACCTATAATTATAAATCCTTTTGATTTTATACAGCGCCGGAACATTTATAACCAACCACTAAGGACGCCCTCAAGAAATTTATGCAATCATAGTAAAGTAATTTTTATATATAGATCTTATTATATTCGACCTCGTCTTCAAATAACTAATTGAATAGTGTCCAAGCACCGCAGCAACACTGATCAAAATAATAGCCCAAGCTAAAATTAGAAAACTATTAAAAACAATCTGACAAAATTGGATTGGAAAGCAGAGTAAAATGGGAAAAAAGTTTATGCAAATATGCAGAACGTTCGAATCAAGTAACTCCAGTAAACAGGCAGACAACAAAGGGCAAAATTCATCAATTAATAATAATAATAATAATTTATTATAATAATAAAGAAGCATCTCAGGGCAAAGTAGAAACGACGATCACCACAAAAGGAATAATACAAACCTTACAGCCATCGATCCCGAACTGATAAAGTCTTATTCCGTTGTCCTTCAAAAATTCCGACGTCGTTTCTGGATACGGTTCAGGACACAAACATCTGCACCAAAATATATATGGATCCAACTGAAATACCGTGAAATTCTGGAAGCCGGACTGGACGACGAGACATAGAAGAAGGAAGAGAAAATGAAACAGACATTACGGAACGAAGACGGAGCGATTTCAGGAAACCGAAATTAGCAGAATTGGGAAAGCCAGACCGAAAAATGCCGTTGTCGACCATGGCGAAGTTGAGGGGCGGAACGAATATCTCATCGGCTTCGGCGTCGGTGCGGTCCTCCTGCGGCGGCGGAAGGGCGGGAGCGAGGGGCGGCTGGCCGTTGGAGTTGTCGAGCTTCATGGTTTTGGCGCCAAAATGAAGAACTGAAGTGCGAAGGAGGCGATTGATTGATGTTGTTACGTGGAGGAGCGAATTGATTGATTCACGGGATCTCCAGTTTTGAGGATCTGTCTATCGTGCTATTATTGATTATTAAATCAATATAGATAAGGATTTGGAGGCAGGGTGGTGAGAAATAGTGTAGAATATATATAGAAAACGGAAAGAAGAAAGGAGGAAAAGGTTAGAGGATCTTTGATAAGATGCTTTCAAGCATGCTACGTACACTGAAGGAATATGCCTTAATCGGAACCCACCACGAAAATACCAAACCTTTTGTATTTCGATGATCCAGATACTGTATTCGCCCGGGAGAGGACTTGTATTTTGAAGAAAAATCCGTATACTAGTACGTATCTAGAAAAAGTTAAAAAAGTATATAGCAACTTTATGGTGCGGGAAGAAAAACAAAACAATGACACATGAGTTTTGTGAAGAGCATTTGATCCAGTAACACAAGTGCTTAGTTTTTTGTAATTGCCCCTCGCTCCCTGCGACCACTAAATTTCGCCCAGCTCGTTTAGTCCAATTCAGTCAAATGGAGAGTAGCTTCTACACATGTTGCTTTATTCAGTAGCTTCTTTTTCATTTAGGTTGTTTTCTCCTTCTCTGCACGAAAATGGTCTTCATTGTTTCTTCTACCAAATGTCTTGTTCTTTTCAGCAATGGCTTCTCCACTCATGATTTGAAAGTTACACCACTGTGTAACCAAAGTAATCGGTAAGACCTCACTGCCTAGTGTTTAAAAGTGATCGTCTTTAACTTTGTTTACGTTTTTATGATAGATCTAAATCTTTCTTTGTTTCCTTTATCAAATGTCTTATTCTTTTTCGACAATTGTTTCTTCACTCACGATTTTAAGGTTACACATGTGTTTATTGAATAGTAAATAGACCATACAAATTTAAACTTAGAAACTTAATTAAGCTTTTAAATAATAACATTTATAGTAAAGCTTTCACTCCTCACTCCTTAAAAGAGTTTATTTGTTTTATTATAAAAAAAATGTTACTTGAATTTATTTAATTTAAATAGAAATTTTAAGGTTAACGAATACAAACAATAAACATAAAAAGTACATGAATTTAAATGTATTTAAATCTTTTAAAGTTTCAGTTAATTTTTACATCAAATTTTATTAATGAACCCACATGCATGTTTCTTCCGGTTTAAAAAAAAAAAATCAAAAGAAAAAAATAGTAAATTTTGTTCAAAGAAAAAAAAAATAGTTAGAGATGTGGCTATATGAGTGAACAAAATGTGGTGGCACTTCTCGATTTTTAAAACAAATCAGCTGCATCTCTTAGTCTTTTCCTACTCCTACACTGCCTTTATGTCTCTCCATTATTTTTCTCATCACTTTCCCCACAAACATTGTCTTTCTCACACATAAGCATTCACAATGACAACTTTATTTCATTTTATTTTTACACTTGTAATAGTCAACAGACCAAATTCAGTAATTGCTTGACTCGAAAATAGAACAATACACAATAGCACTGGACGATCGAAATTGATGAAGGCTGATGGCTTGCTGTTTGGATTTCCAACAAGGTAAGGAAGCATGACAGCAGAGATGAAGGCGTTTTTTCGATTCAACAGGTATGTTGCGGAGAGAGCAGAAGCTGGCGGGGGTGCCTGCTGGCTTCTTTGTCAGCAGGGGAACTCAGGGCGGAGGTCAAGAAACCACAACGTAAGACAGTTTAATTAGAATGCAATAACTGTAGAGTATATATACTCTGATTGTTATTCTACTGTTAACTCCTATCTGCTGCTTAGAACATATAACAAAAACGGGTTCTAAAGTGGCTTTAGCAGGAGTTGTCTATATCATAATTTCATAATTGGTTGTAAACTAGTTTTGAATTGCTTTGAATTTAGCAAATCTGTTTGAAAATGTTCTTGTCCTGTTAGAAACAATTGTAGTTTATCAAAATGTAGAAAACCTAAAAGTTTATTTCTGTCTATAAGCTTTGATATGATAAAATTAACACCAGGCCCCGCTCATCTCATGTTAGTAGCTGGCTAACACATTCAATCACCCAAAATCAGTGCATAACAAAACACTGACGACTAAAGTGTGCAAAATAATTGAGCTCTGGTTACCAGCAAATGAGGAGAGAATAGGTGAAAATTTAACAGCACTGACACTGTAATGTTGGAGAAGCCCACCAAAATGCAGAATAAGACCATTAAAGCTCTTGCAGAAAAAGATAAACCCGACAAAGGCAGATTGAACATGTAAATCTCAACATTGATTTCACTTAAACCAGCTAAGCCTCTAACAAAACTTATTTCAACATCTCAGACTCATCTGTTTGTCAAGCGGTACCTATCTCGATCCAGAGAAAGTCTTCCGGCTCCTCCTTGTTCGTGCATTCGTATGAGTCCTTTGTCCACGGCAGGGTAAGTTATCCACATGCCTGATCCCTCGGTAGCACTGAATGCCCACCAACCTTACCACATCTCTCTCAACGCACTTTTTCTGAAACACACATACACATAACGAAACAAGCAAGCCTATTTAGATAAAAGTTCTCCTCAAACACATACAAGTAGAAAATGAGAAGGCAGAAATAAATTAAACCTATTTTATAAGTTAGAATCAAATCATACACTACACGTTTTACAGAAGCTCTTTCATCTGACTTCTCTGAAAACCTATACACATACGTTGATCTTAACCAACGAGAAAAGTTTGACTCATTTTGCTTTGAGGGAACTATACTGACACCCTCCTTTTTCCATCCCTAACTGTCCTTAATCATCTGAAGACATTATACTGACACCCCTAATAGGGTGTGCCACTGTACCCAGTAAAGGAGGTTTGCGCACAACGCCGCCGAACATGATAGAGAATAATAGGAGTTTTGCGAAGTCTCGAAAGTAAGGTGCAATTTACTCTTTCTTTGGTTTTTTGTATTTGTGTGCAAACAACATAGAGTAATTTATGCAAAGAGGCGTCAAAAAGGTGGGAAGAAAATACCAAATCGTTTCCGATCAAGTACTTGGCGAGCAACTCGCGAATGGAATAGAGTTCCCTCTTGCTGAGATCCTTCACGAATTTGTTCTCAACTCCGAGCTCGCACACGATGTGGTGCGCTTTCGAGCGCCCTATTCCGTGCAGGTGCTGGAGAGCGTACTCCAGACGCTTATTGTCGGGGATCTCGCCTCCCATACCGCCTCCGATGTTGATGTTCTGCACGCGCACACCTCGAAGCTGCAAAACGGGAGAGAAAAGGACAACGTGAATCTCCAGAATGTTCGACAAAGCCCTAGGCGAAGGCGAATTGAGCCAAAGGAGAATTTACCGATAAGTTTTGGCGGAGGCGGAGAGCGACGTCGGAGAAGAGTCGCGCGGAGCCGAACATGTTGGAGTGGGAGGATTTGAAGATGCGACTGAGGAGAGGGAAAAAGGTAAGAGAAGATGCTTTCAAGTATGGTGTGTGATGACTGCAGCGGGAGGAGACGTATGCCGAAGTCGGAAGCCACCACGAAAATACCAAACCTTTGTATTTCGACGATCCAGATACTGTATTCGCGTATAGGAAAGGAAAGGACTTGTATTTGTTGATTGTATTTTGAAGTAAAATACTGTATTCCGTTGCCTGCTTTCAATTTTTTAATATCTTCTCATTCCAGATATTATTTTTGTACTTTGGTTGGGAAGTTAGGTCATATGAAAAAATAAAGATACTTTAACAATATTTTTTTAATAATATTTTTTTAACAATATTTTAACATTATTTATGTGTCATTTTGTGAGTTCAAAATTACTTTATAATCAATAATAATAATCATAAATATCAGCATGAACCAGTCACAAAATAACATGTAAATAGTATTAAAATATTATAAAAAAAATGATGTCAAAATATTATTATTTAATCTAAAATCTAAAATGACCCTCCTTCTAAACTATATGGAGTTGGAGGAACAATTAAAGTTAGGTAAAATTTTACATGTGTAATTAATTATTGTATTATTTTTAACGGGAATCCTAATCAGTGTCCATTTAGTTAAAATTAATGATTTTTTATTCCAAAATCTCGAATGATTAACTTTATTAATTAAAATAATATAAATTCATATAGATAAAGATAAAAATGTTTTTTTTATCTTTTATACACGTATAATGAGTTTTAAACACAAAATAATTGCTTTAGAATTTTTAGTATCTTTATCAATAAGTAAACAAAAACATCTCTTGTAGGCTTAATACTGAAGTTTAAAATGTGAAAACTGTAAAAGTTTGAAAGATACAGTCTTTTCTTTGTATTATTTTTTGTCACTTCTTTAAATTAATTTTTCTTATTTATTTTAAATATGTTAAATATGTGTGAGTGTTAAATATGATGATAAAAAAATTTCCAATTTTCATTGCTATTTTTCATACTGTTTTTGCTTTTGCTTAGTTAGATCGAGGAAAATAAATCACGTAATCTCCAAGGACACTTTTGCTTTCTTGCTTAACTTAAGTTTTTTTTAAAGACAGACAATTAAAAAGAAAGAAAAACTGTACAATAACATGAAAATTATTTTATTATTTTGTAATTTTTTTAAACTTCTTTTTGTGTGTATAAAATAAATAATCAATTACAATTATATAACACATATGAATATTTTTATCTTTTGAATAAAATAAAATTGCATTAATAGTTATTGAGTCATAATTCATTAACGTCAAAATTATCAATGAATTTTTGTAAAACTTAATGTTTGTTATTATTGTATGATCCTATTTTTAATGTTAGTTAAGTTATATTTTAGCTTCTTATATACTTATTAAAACAATAAATGCTTTTATTCCATGACTTTATATGAAATTACTAGTTGTGTTTGCTTTTTTAGAATGAGTTTAGAAGAATATATTTGAGTAAATTTTATGAGAAAATGGGGGCCTGATAGTGGCGCTGTAATTCAAAAGTTCAAAATGATGAGAAAAAGAAACGTATCCGCAAATCCAGGGTATCCTCGTGGATCTTTCGTGTTGAATAAAGGGCCCCATTAGAAGCAAACCAATTGAACATGATCTTAGCCGCTAATCACCGAAGTAAAACTCCACTTAGATTACTAATCTTTCCCAAAATTGAAAACCAAGGAAAGGAGGAACTCTTCACTGAACTATAAGCAAACCCTCGAGGCGTTGCGTAGCAGCTTAGGGATTGTTCGAGTCAAACGCTTCATTTTCGAAGATGAAAGCAGTCTCCGATTGGATCGATTCTTGTTCCAAAGAGCAATTGACGACGTATCAAGAATGGTTCATCTTAGCCGATTCAGGTTTTACTGCTTCGCTTCCTTTCATTCTTCAACTCCATTCGCATTCGGATGTAACTCATTCTTTTTCTCTTTTCTTCTCTTATTTGATCGTAGACGGAGATGGCCGTATCTCTGGAAATGATGCAACCAAGTTCTTTGCTCTCTCCAACTTGTCTCGCTCCCAACTCAAGCAGGTATATATTCCTTTTCTTATCATTCATTTTTCAATTTACAACGACTCTTAAATTTTTATGCCATTCTTCGTAATCATTCTTCGTAAGTTCAACTAGTTTAATTGTATTTCCGATTTTAGTGAAATTTAATCTATACTTGCTTAATTGCTCTCCGTAGGTTTGGGCTATCGCTGATGCTAAAAGACAAGGATTTCTAGGTTTTCAAGAGTTTGTTATCGCAATGCAGGTTCGGATTTTTAAATACCGACTCTTGCTTTAATATGGATAATCTGCTATCAGAATCTTACTTTAAAATTGAATGTTTTTTTAATAAACAGCTGGTTGCGCTGGCACAAGCAGGATACGATATCAACTCAGATATCCTTAAAGCGGAAAGTAAGTTCACCTATATAATGTCATTCATACTGGCCATTTGTTTGTGTTGATCTTTACCTTATCAGATACTTGCCCACATTTTTTCTGGAATGACATGTTTCGCATGTGGTGGTAAGAATACTTAAGTGAGATCCCATATCATGGCCGATTTTATACGTGGGCTGTGAATCACTTGGCGTGATACGAGTCATTTGTTGTATCACTGCAAGGCTGAATTAACTGAAATATGTATATGTGTAAAAGAAAGTTCATTTACTTCACTATTGAGGTTTATTTCTCAAGTCCTATAAATCCAAATTTCATGCAATACTGAAGGAGAAACAGGCTTGGGGAAATCTACTGGTCCTGATACTTACAGAAATGGATAACCTGCCAGACTTATTGAGCCTTGTGAACTGGAAGGGTGTTGATCTCAATGAATAACGGTTCAAAATATTGGTGCAAAGGGAATATATGTTATCTATTAGATTCAGAGATACACGTTTCTCTTCTGTCTAAATTCGTAGTCTGTCGTTCCAAATACTTTGTAGTATTCACTCTTTCCAATGCATTTTATTTTTTCCATTTCTTTTGATTTCAGTTAACAAGGAAAATATTAAATCTCCAGTAATGGAAGGGCTTGATGGTTTAATAGATGTGAGCAATTTTTGTACCTCACCTTGTCTTTATTTAACAATTAAATAATTTTAATACTGTTGATTATTTTTCTAAATGTTTTACCTTTCCTTTTTCTTTTTCAGCAGACAAAGAATTTGACATTACATTCCCAACCAGAGGCATTTGGTTAGACGTGTAATATTTTTTCCACATTCACGACATTGTACCGTGTAATTAATATTGATTCTATTATTTACTGATAATATGTAGGGACTGTTCAACCTCAACCTTTGCCTATCAATTCATGGGCTGCTCCAAAATCTGTGAAGAAAGTGAGTCACCCAAATCAATGCCCATTTGAACAACAATAAGTGGTTTGCTTTTAAAAGAGTTTAGAAAATGAAGTCACTTTGGTTTGTTCTTGAGAAGATTGTATGAATTAATGATACTTAATGTATGGTGCAAAAATTAACCGACAGCTTTAAATTAGTGAATGGTTGGATTACTTTAAGAGATTATGCATTCAGAATTGATAGCATTCTTCTTGCATATGTTCATTGCCATGACAAATCCGTTGATGTGTAAAAAGCAATATTGGATCAACATGATTCCTAAGTTAAAATTATTAGTAATGTGCGCTTGTGAACTCATTAATTTTGAAGCTCAATTACACAGGCCTTGTGTTACCTTAGTCGATTGCCAGGTATATTCTAATTATAAAATTTTGGTCTATTTTAGTTACCTCTCAATGCAGTTACATCAATAATTGATGGTTTGAAGAGATTGTACGTGGAAAAGCTAAAGCCGTTGGAGGTCACTTATCAATTCAATGATTTTGTATCTCCATTATTGGTAAGCGACTTGTACACCCAATATACAAATAAAGTATCTCAAATTTTGTGAACTGTACATTTATGCATATTAATTAATTAACATGACTTATTATTCAGGTAAATGTGAAATATTCAGTTTAAGAATGTCTATGATTTGTCTTTCAGACCGACAGTGATTTTGATGCTAAACCAATGGTTATGCTTCTTGGTCAATATTCCACAGGGAAAACAACCTTCATAAAACATATGCTAAGATGCAATTATCCAGGTTGGTTGAGTCGTGGATAATCTAGCAGCCGCATTATTTGAAATCCTCCGTGCAAGTAATATATGAAGGCATATAAATTACTTTATTGATCCTGTCTCCTGTTAATTATTCACACAGGTGCACACATTGGACCAGAGCCTACAACGGACAGATTTGTGGTTGTCATGGTACAATAATCCCTTTTTCTAGCATTAGTTTTGAAAATTGTTAATTTGTTACCTTGTCATGTTCATTTGTGCTTTGCTTGCGCTCATGGAGGTTCAAAGTTGAATGTGTTTTTTACTTGTAGTCTGGTTCTGATGAAAGGAGTATTCCTGGAAATACAGTAGCTGTTGATGCTGCTATGCCTTTTAGTGGCCTGACAACTTTTGGTGGTTCATTTTTGTCAAAGTTCCAGTGTTCTCAACTGCCACATCCAGTGAGTTTTCTATATATGCTTACAACTTGTGTCATTTATTTGTCCTTGGACTTGAAGCAATTTTTTCTTTTAGCTGCTAGATGAAATAACATTTGTGGACACTCCTGGTGTCCTCTCTGGAGAAAAACAAAGGACTCAACGAAGTTATGACTTCACAGGTGTTATATCTTGGTTTGCTGCAAAATGTGATCTGATACTTCTGCTATTTGATCCTCACAAACTTGACATCAGTGATGAATTTAAACGTGTAATTGGGTCTCTACACGGTCATGATGACAAGATTCGTGTGGTTTTGAATAAAGCGGACCAAATTGATACTCAACAAGTAATGAACTGCCGTCAACTCTGTCTCCTGTTCTAGATAAATTTGTGATTTACTTTTGACTTATTTCCAATCCTCATTTTAATAACGTAGCTCATGAGAGTTTATGGAGCATTGATGTGGTCTCTGGGGAAAGTTCTGAATACTCCAGAAGTTATGCGTGTATATATTGGGTAGGTTTCATCTTTTACATATTGCTAATGATTTCTACTTTATTTACAATGACTCGATTTAAGTATTTAACCATTTATTTAAGATTGTACTGTCTTGTTGCAGTTGAACATTATTCGATCTCAGTTTTGTTGACCAATTGATTTGTCTTTTTAACACATTGTAGTTGAAATTTACTTTTAAAATGCTTAGCATTTGTTGAGCTTTCACATTGTTTTCATATCACATCAGTTGTAAGTTTATTTTACTTTTCTTTGCAGCTCATTTAATGATAAGCCTATAAACGAAGGATTTGTTGGCCCGTTAGGGCAGGAGCTCTTTGAAAAGGAACAGAATGATCTTCTTGCAGACTTGGTAGATATTCCAAGAAAGGCATGCGACAGTCGGGTATGGTCCTATTTTCATAATATTGTCTGACCTGGTATTTCAAATATGTGAATTAAGTGCGTATGGCAGGTCGTTCTATTAATCCTTCTAATACTTTTTTATCTTGTAATATATTACTTTTTGTTTCTGGTTCTAAATTCTGAGGTGTTGGAACTGTGCAGATCAATGAATTTGTGAAACGTGCTAGATCTGCTAAAATTCATGCGTATCTAATTAGTCATCTTAGGAATGAGATGCCAGCAATGATGGGCAAAGCTAAGGCTCAACAAAGGCTTATAGAGAATCTTGAAGACGAATTTAAAAAGGTCTCTCCTTTCACTTCGTCTCCCTTGTTTCCTCTCATTTATTAATTCTTATCATATATGATACAGGTTCAAAGGCAGTTTCATCTACCAGCTGGTGATTTTCCCGATGTAGAACACTTCAGAGAGATTTTGAGTAGCTATAGCATTGACAAATTTGAGAAACTAAAGCCCAAAATGATTCAAGCGGTTGATGACATGCTTGGATACGAAATACCAGAGTTATTAAAAAAGTTCAGAAATCCTTATGATTGAATTAACAAAGTTTTTCATTTTATGATTGTTTTTAGGCTGAGATTTTTTATATAAATGATGAATTTTTTCATGTCTCAATGTCTATCGTAGTGTACCCCATGGGCAATCCATAGTGAAATTTACTATGTAAAAGCCGTTAATTATATTCTATTTATTTTTATTTTTCTCCTCGGTCATACCTCAATTTCCACAACACCATATCGAATCTACAATATTGAATGTTTGACTTTGTAATTATCAAAAATTTAATATGAAATAAAAGAAAGAAAAATTAATGGAAATCGAGCACTGTTTGTTGAAATAAAAATTAGAGAAGGAAATAAAAAATTGAAACGGTATATATATATATATATGTATGGTTTTAGACCAATCTGGTTTCGTCAAGCTTAAACCCTCTCACCAACAAGATTAGGATGGTCTATCTACACAAAAAAAAATCACTTTATTTGTTATATAACCATTTAAAAAATGTGTATTTTAAAATATGTGAATAAGTGTGGATACTCACATATATTTTAAAAATATATCTTATAAATTTTTAAAATAAAATAATAAAAAGTATATAAAATATAATATAAATTAAATTAAATATAAATTAAAATATAATTTCAATTAAATTTAAACTAATAAAAATATAAATTAATAATAATTTGAATTAAATTTAATTTAATAATTTAATTTTAAATTTTGTAAATGATGAATATCTACGTATACACAAATAATATAAACGGATATTATGCTATTAATTAATAATAAATAGTTATACACACTAATTATTTATCGTAAATTTTATCTAAAAATATTCACATGTTTTTCACATTCTCAAAGAGCAACATCCTCTTCTACTCTTCTACTGTTAGGTTAAAATCTCAACTAAAGTATATAAGAAAAGACTTAAAGATTTAGATTGATACCTTATAAGCATATGCACATCAATGCAATATAGTAAAAGTATATAAACAAGGAAACACAAGCTGAAAAAGAGTTCCTAAATCCAGAGAAGCCATGGGCGACTGGAGTCTCAACCAGGAATTGGTGGAATAAAAGGATGGATTGGAAAAGAAAAAACTTTCTACCACAAAAAAAAAAAAATAGTAAAAAGGAGCTATTAAAAAAATTAAATAAGAATGCACTTATGCACCCAACTTAACAAGGATTAGAAATTCTAATTTCCAAATTTGTTTGCCTTCACACGAACCAAGGTTGCAGAATGAAAAGATAGCTTATTTCATGTTTCGTACGTGCTCTCATTAGAGGAGTTGGTCGATGAATGCAGAGAATAATCGAAACATTTCTTATTGAAATTATTCCCATTATCAAATTTGGGAAACAACAAACAAAGGACGCACAATCATTTTTTGTTTATGATGACAGATAAATCAAATAATTTCCCCAAGTGCCAAACAATTCCAACATAAAATAAGGTTGTATCTCTGATAATTCAAGGTGGGATCTCATGAGTGTAATCGCATATCAGTTATTATGTGTTTCTATTTGCATTTTCATACTGCTCTTTATTTCAAATTATGTTAAAAGATAAGAAAGTCACTCTTTGTCGTTTTAAACTCAACACACATATGCATATTTTTTCTATTATATAATTAATATGATTTTTTTTTCTATTTTCCTAATGTAAAAAAGAAAAACCGAGAAATATGATTTTACTAATATATTAAGAAGTAATGTTGATAAAAACCACAAAATAGGTATGGACGTTGGATCTTCAGATGCAATGGTTCCTCCTCGAATTAATTCATTAAATCTTAAGATATTCGACATTTAATAAATTCCAAACACAAAGTTTGAACCACAGAATTTATTTAAGTTGATTTAATAACAAAAAAAATGTGTTTTATACTAATTTCTAACTTCATATAAGACTTGTGAATTGATGAAACAAATATGAATAGAATTTAAAAGAAATTAATAAACTAAAGATCAAAATATAAAAAATGAAATTAAAGTATATTTTAAACTTTTCTTATTTGAATTTATCTTATAAAGTAAACACTTTATACAAAATAGTGTTTATTTATTTTTATTTTTGTAATTTATGCTACTAGTCTTAGTTAAGTAATCTCTCCCGCTTTATTTAATAAGTCATAAATAAGAGATTTAAAACACGTCATAAACAATAATTAAGATATTTAAAATATATTAAATATTTTAATTTAATCTTAAAGGTTAATTGAAAAATAAATAAAAAAGTTAACAAATTAGGTCAATTAATTACTTTCGGCCAAACTAATTTATCAATTATGTTTAGCTTTAAACTCGATTTACGATTAAATAGTATACATATTTTTTTTTAAATCATGAATTGTTACTCACAGTAAAGTTATTATTTTATATAATATTTATTTCGAAACTTATATTTTAATTAACTGATGATGTAAGAATCTGCATTGACATAATGAAAATTAAACAGTAATTTTATTATTGGCTTTAATATTTTCAGACATAATAATATTTTTAAATAAATTCGTTGATCGGTAAATGTTCAAAGCAAATATAAAAAAGTGGTTAAACGGCAGAAAGGATGGTTGAGTCTGGGTGGTTATGGTGAGTGTGTGTTAACTTGGATTGCATCGAAAGTGGAAATGGTGAAGTCAAAGAGATTTGAAGGAAAGGTGGTGATTGTGACGGCTTCCACGCAAGGAATCGGTTTAGCCATAGCCGAGAGGCTTGGCCTCGAAGGTGCATCCGTTGTTATCTCTTCTCGCAAACAGGTTCAATTCCCCTTTCTTGATTTCTTTTCTATCCACTCAATTTTAGGTTTTCCCTTCATGTTCTTCATCTTCATCCCGTTCAATTACCGCAGCAAAACGTTGACGCGGCGGCGGAAAAACTGAGGGCAAAAGGAATTGAAGTGTTAGGGGTTGTTTGCCATGTTTCTAATCCTCAACAACGGAAGGAGTTGATACTCAAAACTGTGCAGGTCAGATCTTCAGATCAATTATAAGATAGTTTAACACTCTAAACTATCACTTTTAAATAACTCTTACTCGGATTTGTAAAAGTTTGTTGTACAGTAATTTTATTGTTTTTTTATTATTGAAGTTATACTAAGGATGATAAAAACATTTTATACTAAATTTACATGTCCATTGAATTCTTACTTAAAATTAAACCATTTTAAATTATATCACAGTGTTTGATTTGATAAAGATGAATAATCTTGGTCATCTTGATCATATGTTGTACCGGTCTAAATCTCATTCAGGCTCATTATTCTTTGTTGTTTTCGTCAGGAGGTTAGACTGATACTTGGCCTTCATGTTTTTCAATACATGGTTTCTATAAAATTGAAATCTGTCTTCCAACTTAGTTCTAATATGTGATTGAACACTCTGGTTTGGTACAGAAGTATGGAAAGATAGATGTTGTTGTGTCCAATGCTGCTGCAAATCCTTCTGTTGATTCCATCTTGCAAACAAAAGACACTGTCCTTGACAAGCTATGGGAGATAAATGTCAAAGCTACTATACTTCTTTTGAAGGTAATTAACTCCGTGAAATGGGGAAAACAAAGAAGAACGAATTTGATATATATTTTTCAGCATTATCTTTTTGTCATCTTGGTATGATGTGCTGATGTGATTGGTTTATGCAGGATGCTGCGCCTCACTTGCAGAAGGGTTCTTCTGTTGTTATCATTTCCTCAATTGCTGGTTATAACCCGCCACCTTCTTTGGCTATGTATGGAGTGACCAAAACAGCCCTTCTTGGACTTACCAAAGTTAGTACACGAGACTTGCAATTGTTCCTTCAAAAGAATTATAAACCACCGTTACTATCTTTTATTTTTTTTTAATTTGCTAATGATTTGTAATGGATAGGCCCTGGCTGCTGAGATGGCCCCAGACACTCGTGTAAACTGTGTTGCTCCTGGTTTTGTGCCGACCAATTTTGCTTCATTCATTACAACTAATGAAGCTGTCGTGAGTGTCTTCTGAACCCTTCCTCCATTGAATCCCATTCCTCGACATTTAATCATTCTGTGTTACTGCAGAGAAAAGAGCTTGAAGATAAAACAATTCTTAAAAGGCTCGGTACAACAGAAGACATGGCTGCTGCAACAGCATTTTTGGCATCCGACGATGCTTCTTATATAACAGGAGAGACTATAGTAGTTGCTGGGGGAACGCCTTCAAGGTTGTAGCTTCCGCTATTATTCTCTCAGTCAACACATATTTGAAGTTCTTTTTAGCAATAAATTATTACCTGCTAGTCTGAATCCATGGGATATATATGTTCATGAACAGTGTTTATTTCAATTTCTTGTTAGTACCGTAAGGATATTATTACTAAGCTATGTTTGGGGTTTATGAAATAAAAAAGAAAAAAGTATAGGCTGAATAGCATAAATATAATATTTTGGAAAAGAAACATTTAACGGGATTATTAAAGAAATTATATGAGTTATTAGGTTTTAAAAGGAAAAAGAAAAGTTACTTAGGTATCAAATAGGTGTTCATCCGAAAGTACGTCTCCAGGTAAGGGTCAACTCACGACCATTAGTTCAGGGATAATGATATTTTAATAACATTTTTTAACCATATTAATATTATTTATGTGTTATTATATGATTATTATTATTGATTGTGAAATAATTTTGAACCAATCACAAACTGATACGTAAATAATATTAAAATGTTGTTAAAGTACCGTTATTTATTACTACGGATTATTTGAAAAGTTTAGGCAACTTTTGAAGAGAACTTCTTCTCTGCAAGTTATGTGTTGCGACTTTTTTTAAAGAAGAATTATCTGTTGACATTCATTTTAACAACTTTTTTAATAATGAAGTATTATATTAACTAATAAAAATAAAAATAAAAAAAGTTGAAATAAACACTTTTAAATGATAAAATATTATATTTAACTAACCATTTTAAAATAAAATAAGGAAATGATAGAGGTTTTCTTTCCTCCAAGGTGTTTTCACTAGCATTTTTGGCCCACTGGGGAACAAAAGAAATTGGCAACAGTTAGAGTTAAGTTATGAATTTTTTTTCTTAACAGTGAGAAGACTAACTAACGAGTCTAGAAAGATGAAGTATGATGAG